GATGGTCACACTCAAAGAGTTGCAGTCAATGGCTCGATGTCCAAGTGAAGACCAGTAACAAGCAGCGGTTCTCAGGGGTTGATATTGGGTGCAGTGTTGTTTATCTTTGTTGGCAACATGGACAGTGGGATTGAGTGCACCCTCGGCAAGTTTGCAAATGACACCAAGCTGTGTGGTGCGGTCGACACGCTGGAGGGAAGGCATGCCATCCAGAGAGACTTTGACAGGCTGGAGAGGTGGGCCAGTGTGAACCTCATGAAGTTCAACAAGGCCAAGTGCAAGGTCCTGCACTCGGGTCAGGGCAATCCCAAGCACAAATACAGGCTGGGCAGAGAATGGATTGAGAGCAGCCCTGAGGAGAAGGACTTGGGGGTGTTGGTTGATGAGAAGCTCAGCATGACCCAGCAATGTGCTCTTGCAGCCCAGAAGGCCAACCGTTTCCTGGGCTGCATCAAAAGAAGCGCAACCAGCAGGTCGAGGGAGGTGATTCTGCCCCTCCGTTCAGGGGGGAGGGTTAGGGTTCCTTCTGCTGCCAGAGGCTTCAGAGCACTGTCTAGCCAAAGCATCATGCTTCTTAGCTTGTTCACCCTCCGATTTCCACACAGTGGCATTTCTGCCCATGTGCATCTTACCAACATCTGTGATGATGAGAAATACACATAACATTCAAGAGAAATAAAAGGTTGAAAGTCAGTGTAATCATACTGAAATGATTATAAATTAAGATGATGGAGCACAGACTCACTCTTATATCCATAAGGAACAATGAAGATTACCCTGTGACCAGTACTTAATGCTGTCTTCATTTGCTCTTGTTCAGCATGACTTCACTTTTCAGATGGCCCCTCTGTGGCTGTGGGAGTGTGTGCAAACTTCAGTACTGGTATTTGTAGAAACAAACAGGTGTTTGCTTGTCAAGTCAGTTATAATATGCATAATAACTAGTTTGCACAAACCAACATGTGCTTGTGTGAGGTAAACAGATGGCATCACATTTTCCCACCTAATGCAAACACTTTTTAAAAGCTTTTACAAATATTGCTTCAGGAGAGTTAACAGTGTCAAATGCAAACATATTTAGCACCTCTCTTCAGTTCTGATTCAAGGTATTGATGCATATTGATGGTCTTTCTCTATTCATATCCATATGCTTCGAGATGTGTTACGCTTCAGATATGCTTGATTGTAACTGGGCAGTCTTCAAGTCAGAGGGACTTTTGCCGTTGATGTAACAGGTAAGAAGATTACTTCTCCATAAAAACTTTTTATTTTAACCATAAGGTTTCTCCATATTTCAAAATTCTGCCACTGCAGCTTAGATCTTCCAAGTACGCAGTAGGCAATACTTCCACCTCTGGTACAACTCATGTGCTTAAGAGGGAAGCATGCACCTAAGTATTTGTAGGATTAGGGGGTATATGATGGCTCCGATCCAGTTTTATCACACATGCTGGACAGACATATTATCTTAGTTTTTGTTGCTTAAAGCTCTGTTTGGTTAGAAGCAAAGTACCTCATGGCTGTAGGAGAGCACAGATGAATATTCTTCCTCCTCAGTAGCAAGGGAGTGTCTGGATCTCCAACTACCCACTAGCATCTGTACCTAACTCAAACGTGAACTACCGCCAAGTTAGCCTACTGTAACTGCAGCACATGCAAGAGCTGCAATGCCTGTTGTGGGGATCAGAATGCAGACACTCCTCTGTGCCTGAAACAGAAGCCCTCTGACACCTCAGGATGTCTTTTAGCCCTCATGAAAGGGCAACAATGGAAATCCCACTGTGAACAAAGCCTCAGAGTTTTGTCAACGTCTTGCAAATTCCACGTGCTTAGATCTTAGATTGATGTTTTCTACAAGTCTTGGATTAAATTAGACATAGAAAATCTAATTAATGAGTTATTTCTCTGGACAGGAAACAACTTCATTTAATTCCCTAAATGGCAGCTGAATATTATTTACTGACCTTGATTCGGGACATAAGTCATGGTCATTTCCATGCCTTCTGCCCCTTTCATTTGATTTTCTTTGCAGAAAAGGGACAAGCACTCTCTGCTTGATCACTTGTAAGAGCCTGTGTCAGAACCAGCAGTTCAATGCGCAGGACAAATGTGTACAACACCACACAAAATAACTAGCTGACAGATCTGGCAGTATTCACCTCACTTAATTCTAACTTCCTTCATCGGAGCTAGCTTGCTAGCCTTGCTTTACCTTAATAAGGAGAAAGACACATTGCTGGATACACAGCTCATGTTACTTTATTTAGATTTACTTTCATCTGAAAACACACTATATTGATTATATTGACTATAAAGGGTGACTAGGACAATTAACTCCTGATGTAGACACTAGGATGAAACCAGCTCTCTGATCAAAAGAGCTTACTATTTAAAGTGGGAAGTAAGATGCAACAAGTCACTACTGCAAACCCACAGACAATTGATGTAGATTCTCTCACAGATAGCTCAAAAGGCAACAGCTAAACAGACAATATTGACCCAACTGCTTCGAGCTATTGATATGGACAATGACCAATAAGCCAAGTATTCATTAATAGTACAAGTCAGTGCAAGTTCTTACACTAGTAGGTTTGTTGTTTTGTGGATTGTTGGTTTTGTTCGCATCAGACTTAGGCTGAAAGGAAATTGGAGGCAGTAGTTTACACCAATATAAAACAATGGCAAGCAAACTGCAGCCAGACACACCTAAATTAGGAGAGAAAGTTTCTTTTTAAACTGCCATGTAATTCAAATCAAAATAATATTACTGAAATTAATAAATATTTCCAGAACCCTGTAGAATCTGATTCTTTGGAACTTTGGCTCTAGCCTTTATCTCCTCACAGAACAGACTCAGTAAGAGAAAGGGAGGTCTCACGTAAGCCACCTTTGTGATCTGGTGACCCTGACCTGCATCTTAATCTAAAGAAATGTAAGGACTATATATCTCTTTCATCAGACATCCATCTGTGTCCCCCTGCCAGCTGCCAGAGAGAATTCCTCCCCCTAAAAAATTCTTCCAACACCCCAAAAATCTGTTACTCTCCCATTCTCTTTCAGAAGCTGTGGTGCCAATGCAGAATTGCTGACGGTCCCCACACTCCATCCCCAAATCCACTGGTTTTGCCACATCTCCAAGAAGACAAACATAAAATGGAAGACAGGAGAGCAACTGGGAGATTGTACCACTGAAGGTCATTCTTCTTTTCAAGATCACTCTTACACAGTGTTATCTGTAGGACTTCAGGAAAAAAATGAACTTTGTTTCATGAAAAACAGCAAGATTTTGATAGTTGTTCTCAACTTTCATCAGTATAAAACCGAGACATATTTTCATTTCTCTCAAAGGGAAGGTGGCAGAGTCAGTTTCAAATCCCTCTTCCCACCAAGCAGAACAGATGCTACAGCCCTGTATCATGCATTCCAAGACAGAATGTGAAAGGGCCTCTCATCTTCGCATCCTGAGTCTGGAAAACCTTACCAAATTTGGTCATCAGAACTATCATTTTTCTACAGAGCATTTTGGTTTCAACCACCAAATTTTTCATCAGTTTTTCTTTCTGATTTTGTTTTTAATCTAATCTACTTTGGTTATTACAGAGACTGCCAAAGTAGCAGAGAGAGAGGATGCTGTAGTGCTGGTGCCTGACTCTATAGACATTGTATTTGTTTGGAAATAAAAAAAAAAAAAAAAAAAAAAAAAAAAAAAAAAAAAAAAAAAAAAAAAAAAAAAAAAAAAAAAAAAAAAAAAAAAAAAAAAAAAAAAAAAAAAAAAAAAAAAAAAAAAAAAAAAAAAAAAAAAAAAAAAAAAAAAAAAAAAAAAAAAAAAAAAAAAAAAAAAAAAAAAAAAAAAAAAAAAAAAAAAAAAAAAAAAAAAAAAAAAAAAAAAAAAAAAAAAAAAAAAAAAAAAAAAAAAAAAAAAAAAAAAAAAAAAAAAAAAAAAAAAAAAAAAAAAAAAAAAAAAAAAAAAAAAAAAAAAAAAAAAAAAAAAAAAAAAAAATTAAAAACCCAATTTCTTCTAAAACCACATTAAGAAAGACAGAGTAAGACTAAAGAAGTACCATCAGGAAACAGGAAGTTTGCAATGCTGCACCTTCACAATGTCTTTGATAGGTAGAAAGACTTTAAAGAAGAACCAGTGTCATCTTTCCATCCACTTCTCTCACAGCTCCATGAGTAGTATGAAGTAAAGCAGTAAAGTCAATTAATAGTATGAAGTAAAGCAGAACGAGCAGTCCAGGGCCCTGTAGCTGATGTCATGTCCTGACACAGCGTTCGTCTGCAAAGCACAGTGCTCTATTTGCATTGTCATTTTCCCTGGCTTCCTGTAACAATAAAAATAAAATGCAGGACAATACAAGGCAGAAAAGAAAAAGTATTTACAAGCAGAAATGATACATTTAGAGGAACACAGGGTCTCTGCTGTAGGAATCAAAATGCTCAGAGTTCAATTGATATACAGATTCAGTGTCAAATGAAGAGTCTAAAATAAACAGTGTGATTAAAAAAACCAAACAAACACCTAGACTGCTGCTGAATCAATTTCTTTTTTAAAATGTGATTAAGATTTAATCTCCCTTTCATTGTGGTAGGAAAACAAAAATGAAAAATAAAGACATTCAGACAGCAGATTAAAAAAATTTGTGAGAATACTGTCTGAAAGCACAATGACAATGTTTACTCTCTTCTTCAGTAAATTTATAACTGAGCAGTCATTGGCAATAGCAAATGCTGTATATTTTTATGACCACATACCGTAGTGCTCTCAATTCTGACAAAACCTGTTGAGTAATCAAAGTTTCAGACGCTTCACTCTCGTGGCACTAGCTATTCAGGACAGTAATAAAAGGGAAGTCAGGAACAAGAGCAAGAAAAGAATTAATATTAGCAGAGAGTTATTGTGAAGGACAGGAGGACAACCTCACTACAGAAGGAAACCTACTGGTAACTTCTGTACCCGATTCAGTGATCAGGTACAAGTCATACAGGAGTGTCTTGGCATCAAGTCCTGTGTAACTGAACCTAGTATGGAACTGTATCATGAATTTGTAGTTATTCTATGTTTGCTGATCAACTGCTGACAGTAATTAAAAAAAAAAAACAAAACCCACAACCTTAACAGCTTCCATTTCCAAGTTATGCCAATACATTTGCATATTTTTATAGAAACCATATATTATGACATACTATTGATACAAACTTTCATTTCTGTGAAGAGCCAAGTCTCCTCTTCCAAATACAGATCC